CATATATATACATACATACTTACACATACATATACACACACATATATATATGTAAATATAGTACATAGCTGTATCCTCAATTGTATGTATATATATACAGGCATATGAAAGAATACATTACAATAAACTATAATATTGAACAATATGTGTTTACAAACATTTTAGGCTCCTAATATTAGGAATTTAATTATTGTACATTATTCCTCAGAGAAAGGAACCATTGTGCTGACTACGTCGAAATCCTCTATTTATCTTTTCTCTGGGGTTTGTTCTGTACGGCTTGATGTAAGCATTCCTTTGGCTCTCGCAGCGAACGATTTATTACTGAAATCTGTGAGACGAATTATCTTGATTTAGACAAATTGCAAAACTCGCAGCTTGCCGAATTTCTGGGATTCGTTCAACGTGATCACAAAAAGCACAATGATAATTGAAAAAAAAAACGAGTCCTTTGTTTCATGTCAAAACGAGTAATACAACAACAGACATTAACCAAATTGATAAGCCATTCAAGGTCATACAGAGGAGAGAGAGAGGGGGGGCGGGATGTGGACACAATCGGCAGCGTATTGACAAACATAAAGTTAGAATGGCTTAACATATCACGCTCAATCGATGCGACAACTCACATACCAATTAATGAGTTACTCGCTTTGCTCGCTTGGAGTTCTTCAAGAATATGGTCGTACTGCTGGAGAATTCCAACTATGCGGCTATTCAGCAGCAGATATTCGGCTGTTGGGAAGGTATCAATTTGTTGAGATTTCAGAAACGATGAGCGAATTGGAAAATTCCACATTAAACTGCGAACATGCACGAGCTTATCCATCCAATGAGATTGAAGAGAATTAGTAGCAACGGAAAAGAAGTAGGGAATACGAATAGAGCAACTAGAACGCCGCAAAATCGATATGGCGCAGTGGACATACACAATTGGCGGTCGTCCTTTTCCTCCTCTATACTTGACAGCAGGTCTGGTTGAGCTCTAAGAAGGTGGTTCAGCAATTCCTGTGTGAAGGGGTGTTGTATTTATTTTGGGCGCATGTGAGAGTGGCAATTTTCTGGTGTGTGTGTGTGGTGGGGGGGTTTCATCAGCTGAAAGCAATTGAAGGCCAGGTCAAGGATGGGACAGGTACAGGTACAACAACAAGACATGGGAATGAAGCTCGTTCTACCTCCCTATATATTCTTTTCTGAGAATATAAACGCTAAATGTGTAGGCATAAGCGGAAGGCTGGAATTACAAATGTCGCTCGTTCTGCCTCCCTAAATATTCTTATGTGAGTATATGCGTTAAATGTGTAGGCCTAAGCTGAAGGCTGGAACTACAAATGTCACTCTTTCTGCCTCCCTGAATATTCTTATGTGAGAGTATATACGTTAAATGTGTAGGCCTAAGCTGAAGGCTGAAATTACAAATGTCACTCTTTCTGCCTCCCTAAATATTCTTATGTGAGAGTATATACGTTAAATGTGTTGGCCTAAGCTGAAGGCTGGAATTATAAGTCGTCCTAACCCTGCATATACTAGCATACGCGAAAATAAGTACGACTTGTTGTCGAAGCGCTACTGCCAGGGAATAAAACTATGCTTACCTGCACACTTTCATTGCTTTCCAGCTCATTACTTGGTACGTCGACTAAGAGTTCACCAAAGTTGTTGAGCCTCTTATAGGTGCTCTCGACATCAAACTGCACCCGCGATTTCTATATGGAGATGGAGTAAGGAGAAGGCAGGTAACTAAGTGTTGAATTGTGACTGAACAATTATGTCCATATCCGATTACCTGCAGATCTATGACATTACTTACTGCTCAACAACGACCACTAGACAGGTAAGACTTTAATCTAGACCATATCACAGTGTTTGCGAGGAACAGTGCCTTTCACAGCTAGCAACAATATGTGATAATCTAATCCACTCGACAGAATTCTGGCGCATGACGAAAGTCTACTCGAGCATGTACTGTACAACCGAACAATACATATCTAAATATTTCCATCCCGCCTAAGGAATGCCTGACTTGGGAGTAGAAGCATACACTTACCTTGCGGGAGTGGGGATCATCAGTGTCTTTATATCGGGTGCCCAAATCTGAGAGCGTTATCTCCTCGCTAATATTCGGTTTACTTTGTAAGTTCTCCTTACACTGCTTGTCTATAGTGACTTGTACTTGTGCCAGCAATTCGTCGTCCGTCTGTTGCAAAAGGTGAAGATATCAATAATTGAATGTAAACCGTTGGTCAGTAGTACTTCTCGCTGACATGGTGTCATGATATAGCTACCCAGACAGTTCGATATGTTGAGCGTATGTTCAGTTTAATATCGGACCTTCAAGTCCTAGTTGCATTGCATGATTGTACTTACCCTACATAGTTTGATTTTAGTGCAGGTGCCTTCCGAACACAGTACGAGAACAACAGCATGGCTTCGTAATGTACTGGAAGGGATTAAATGAACCAGTGAAGACGAGAAAAGGCCCTTCGCTCAGCAAGTCTCGACAAACATACCTAGACAGACCAACGACCCAACGCTATAACAGGAGCACATACCTTCGATGTAGCCAAGTCTGTGAAGATCTCGGTGAGCGATGTGTTCATGCGCACAGTCGATGCCAGAGCCATAAAGCCAGCAGTATTCACGGCGTTAAATCGTATGTCTAATAGCTCCAGCGTAGAGTTTATTGACAGAGCTTCCGATAGAGCAATGACGCCTGTGGACAGGGGTTGAGTATGTCGATTAATTGGGGAAAAACAGATTGCAAGAGCCTCTGAAGCCGCAATTGTGTAGAGACTAGAGGTGACGAGAGCAACACATCGCGTGCATACGCACCCTGGAGGTTTCAAGTATTCCCGCCAGGGTATTTTAATATAATTCCATGTGATAAAGCCAACAGCGTAACTTAATGAGATGGTGCTCGAACATACCTGTGCCATCGAGACCGGTGAACACTAAAGAAATTTTCTTGACCGTTTGGTTTACTAAGAGCAAGTCTCGAAGGTCAGTCATCTACGGAAGAAGATACAAACAGCTATTTAGGTGAGATGGTCAAAACCAAACAGTCCTGAAATACACCTTTGCAATCGCTCGAAATTAAGAAGTTTTCTTTTTTTTGGTTGGTGATAATTTTTGCACAATCCTTGTTTGCTTACCGCTTGTTCTGACGCACATTCATTGTAGCTGACGTCCAGTGAGACGAGGCCCGTGTTTTCTTTCTGCAACGTAAAATCAAATATCTTGATTAGTCCAGGCCCCATCACCCATCTACAATTACGCAGAACACTGACATCGAGGCGAACATAAAACTGTAGAATTCAGTCGACAAAACAAGCGTACATGGTTTGAAATTTTGAATATCTGATTGGTTGATTTCCTCAAGTGCAGCCGATGTCGAGACTCGGGCATTTGATCAGCTTGTAATCAGTACAATTGTCGCATACATCAGTGCATTATGGTCATCACAGGCAGCTTTCGCGATAAAAAAAACAACAAGAAAAAAAAAAACTCGCGACGGGCGAGCAACTCCGAGGTCTTCGGTGTGTAACTAATCCTTAAACAAGCAACATACCAGCGCCTGCGCCAGGTAGCAGCAGCCAGCACCCTTTATCTGATTTCGCCACAGCACTACATCCTTTAGCACATTATTTTTCTGTAAGGCCCTTGCCAGGGATCGTGCGCCATTATCCTGCATAGAGATAAATGAGATTGAATCAGTCGTTGACTTGGTATCCGATGGATACATTCGACATACGAAGAGATCACACCAGTATGTATATTCGCACAGCAGCTGAGAGTCCATATTGTTACAGAGGCCTATGTATTTATATTCCTATCCTAAATTTGAGATTTGTCGGATCACATACGGCCATTTGGAACACTAAAGGGCCAATTGATTGAATCATACGTCAAAGCTCGACTGCACTCAATGGTACTATGTTCTCAAGTATAGAGCATACCCCAATGGCATTGCTCCTCATATCTAAGTGTTGTATAGCGCAGCTCGGTTGCTTCAGCGCTGCACCCAGTGCTGCCATAGAATCGCCCGTGATTCCGTTGCCCATCAGCTCGAGTGACTTGAGCGAAGGCGCCTTTCCGCAGCCAAAAACTACACGTCAAAGAATAGCAGGCTATACGTCAGACTTGCAAAATCAAGAGGTTCCAAAAGCACGCATGCTCCGATAAATTTCCATGACTGAAAGAACTTTTCCACAATCGCTAACCTTTCGTCCGGTACTGTGGTCGGACATAGATTGAAACAGCGAACGTACCGTTGACATCAGCCTATCGGGACTGGTAAATATATGCACCCCATAGGAGCTCCCAGGTACCCGTGGTGTAGACTGGAAGAGTCTCCCGTATGAATAAACGCAACAATAACCTCACAGCGCACATGAAAATCCAAACAGAACACTTACAGATGGTTTCAGCCACCGATGAATCTTTCAGCCCACACTCCACGAGACTGAGAGACACAATTGTAGCCGTGTGTAATGACTGTATGAGAAAAAAGAAAGAAAGAAAAAAAACAGATCAATGGGGATTAGCAAAGCTCCTTGACCACACTATACGTGTGTTAGGCTATAGAAACATCGAAACCACGAAATCGCTAGACTGGTTGTCAAGCACGTCGGCCCGTGAATCGTCACCCTACCTTCGCATGGTTCCCATCGCGGCTACACTTATGTAAGCAAACTACCAACTTTCTATATAAGTGAAGTCACGTGCCAAAATAAGGAAAATAAAACTATCAAGTGGCCAGAAGTTGCATCAACCTACTTTCGCCAGATTCTGCGCCATTTTCCTGTCGAACACTATTCCTGTCAGATCTAAGTTCTTTATACGCCGACAGTGGGACATCAGCGTGCCTATACTCGCAATGCCGGGGCCTTTGATTCCAGGGTTGTACGCAAGCTTCAGACTTTCGAACGAGCGCAGCTTTGAAAGCGCCTTTGTGACTTTCGCCAGACTCTGTGCAATTGTACAGCATGTAAATAAGTTGTAGTGCTCGAAAACAGAAGCAGACAGCACAAGCACACAACATCACGACAGCAAAAACAACATTAACATGAGTTTTTCATGTCGAAAATATTACCCCACAGTTGATTGGGAGTAAGACAGAGCAGAAACGATGGTGCGGATACTAGGTTACAACAGAAGAACATACGGCATACAGAAACGAAATTATAGTCAGTTGACACAAACATGTAACCGTGGCCAAAAATTGCGCTCCATGATGAAGAACCCGCCAGGGAACTCCATCGTTACTAACCCCGATACACCCACATACCATATCGTTCAAACTGGACTTAGTGCAGACCAGTGACAACAGAAACCCGTTCTGACCGAGAATCTCCGACACAGATTCCCAATCCGAATACGTTATTCGAGGTGTATCGGCCAGATTTATATGCCGTAGTTGCGTTCCGTTGGTTATCGCATTCTGTTTCAGTGCGAAATATTCAAAAGAGGTACATCGATGACAGAATGAATTGAGAGCTCGCTAAAGACTTCGCGATCGATCTGGCCTACTCAACTATATATCTCCATGCAGAAGAAACCCCAGGATTATTGATTATCATCTAGTCACCGAGAGATGGATGTCGTAGCTCTCTACGCATAATATGGATACTTGTATCGATTGAGATCCAACGCATACTTCGATTTGAAATACACGTTTTCACGAATAATCATAGAATGAATATAAAGGTCAATTCGTTAAGACGGGAAAGACGCGTTTTTACAAGTAACCTTGAAATGAATATAGGTGTCAATTTGTATGACGCATACGTATGTCCACATAAAGGAAAGGTACATATCCGTTGATGTGTTTATGTTATGATATGATAGTATATGAGCAAAAATACTAAAATTATAAGATCTATCGAACAGTACATACAAGCACAAAATCACCGAGGTATCACCAT